CATCGTCAACTCGTAACACAAGGCCTAATTCGGATTGCCTCAAATCAGAAAGCCATTAGTAAAGTGATTAGTACATGTGACAAATGTTGGCTTCAAATCATTTGATCATTGCAAAAAAACAATTTTTTTCAAAAATCTGAAATTTGAAAGTGAAAGTAGTAGCCAATCCTCACATCAACATAGAAGGTATTTGGTGCCTTCTAGATACACCGAAAAAAATCCGAAGATTGGCTTCCCTATAGACTTCTGGGTTCCACTCATATCACATATTTTTTCACATTCTTTGAGTAGAGGTGGACACTGCTTCACATTATTGTGGTGTCATCTTTGTAAGAGTTATTTCTAAGGGTTACCAGACTGCCTTTCTGGTCTGGGTTTCTTTAAGCCTGTCATACAGTGGACTTTGTTTTCTGGACAACTCAAATGATGGTTACTTAGATAACTCAGGGCCAAATGAGAGTTTATTTTTTGTTCTGTGAACAAAAATTGCAGGTTTACATATTTCTGTTATTGCCTCACACAGGAAGATCTTATTACATGCCTTGGCCATTTAAGTAACAGAGTCAAATATTAAAATTGTTTTATGTTTCATACTTAATTCCTCAGATAAGTAATTCCTATGTAAACAGCAAGTATTGCCTCATAATTCTTATCTTGCACCATTGCTATTATAAACAGTGGAAATATATTATGCATCTATTGGGATTTTTTATATGCATTGATCTTTTCATGGTTTCAGTAGAGTTTACTTGTGGTTTCATCTTGAGGAACATGAGTGATTAATTTCTAACATATCTGAAACCAAAAGTGATGTGATATAAAGATCATTTTTCTGAAAATTCTACTACCTGGGAAAATGTTCTCATCTCTATCAAACTGGGATACTCAGGTTTGATCAAAAAGGTTAGAGAACTTACTTCTGAACAACCTACTGGAAGACCAGACAAATCATAGAAAGAAAAATTCTGCACTTGCTACCCAGAAATCGCCTTCTAACTTTCAAAATTGTATACTTGTTTTCAATCACTGAAATTTTAAAAGGATTAAAGCATTTTCCTAAAGATTAGAGGAAATGATAAAGTTCATGTTGAACTCTTACAAATGCCAACATCTTAAAGGTAAACAGAACATTTTATTATGTAGCAATAGATGCTACATCTATTCCTAAACAAAGAACTTTATACTCTGGACCTGAAAGATAATGCAAAAATACACATAAGCATCTCTTCTGGCTCTGGAAGGTACCTCTGCTGTGGAAGTTAGACAAACATTTTCTAAGCAGCTTCCTTTATTGTTTTATTTCTTTTAAAATGCATGTGCATGCAATTTGAAATGAGAAACAGACATCTCTTTTGGACAAAGTAAAGTAGATTAGTGTTTAAGAGAAAAGTATTTAAAATGTTAATGATTTTTAATGAAATATTTTGGAAAATTGAGCCAACTGGATTATTAAAATTAGCACTTCCCATCCAGTCATTTGACAGTTCACGTCTTACATTTACAAAAAAGCAATGTAGTCTAACTTGAAGAGCAAATGAGGATAAATGTGATACCTTGATCAGAGTGATGATTTGCATGCATGTGAAGCACCTTTATCCCGTATTTGCCAAAATATTGACTCTTGCTCTAATATATATAGGAAAGCTTCAAGTATTTTTTTAATTCCAATCTATCCTGAGTAAAATGTCAAAGAAGACTCTAAACTAAAATATAAAATCTGAAAATTTTGCCCACTGGAATGATTTATTACTTGGCCCAAAAAGACATTTGAACTTAGCTGAGAAATCATAGAATATCCAGGAAATTATTATCTTTTTATTTTCAAATGTCTTCTGTTTCTCTAAAGGTCATAGTGTTAGATAATATGAATAAAGTGATTATACAATTACCTATTTTATTCTATTTTAGCAAAAGGAACAAATTCCAGTCACATAGTAAAACTGAAAATACTTTTTATTGTATTGTAGGGACAATAGGAAATAGAATATTTACTGACATTCTGCTTGATTTGTAACCCTGAACCTTGGAACAAACAACCTTCCTAGTAGTTGGATGCACCTCACTCAACCTGAAGTAAGCTTCCATTTTGTTTGGGTTTCAAAGCTTTGAAATTCTTCTCATTTGATCAATAAGTCAATGGTTTTAAATAACCAGTTCTTGCACAAACTCTGACATTTAGCAGGCAATCAGTAAAGCTTTAATTAACAATGAGCTCCAACTGAACACATATACTATGTACATGCTCAGGTTGAAGCACTAGTGGTAATGCTAACAGGCGACCAGATAGAGACTATGAGGTTGGACCCTTACATTTTCTCTATCCATCTCTAGATGGATAGATTCTAGCTGGTAATAGCAGATGCTTCTGGCAGTTCTTACATTTTATCATAATCAGTTCCTTAAGAATATACCAGAAAACAGGGCCTCCCTGATGGGACAAGGGGTTAAGCACCACACTATGAAGCAATCCAAAGCTTCTGCAGCACGAGTTCAATCCCTGGCTGGCCAGGGAGCAACCCACACAGTGCAGCAGACCTTTCCTGTCTCGCCTGCTGCTCCCTCAGCAGTGTATTTCAGTCAGTCTGCCTATTCTGTTCCCACACTGTCTCCAGTGAATCCTCTCCCCTATCCCCCACATCTCTGGCCTGTATCCCAGTTCTTGTATGCATAAATAAATAAATATTTAAAAAAAGAATATATCAGAAAACAAAATGGTTAAGGAATATTTCCCTGTTGGCTGTAGAATCCTACAAAACCACGGTCAGAATGCTTCTCCCTCCTCTGATGAAAAGGTAGAGAGGAATTACCTGGAATTACATGTATAAATCATCATGTAACAGCAAGCAAAAAAAAAAAAAAAAAACCCCAAATGTTAAGGAAACAATATCAAAACACTTTCTAGATACTGTCTGCTGTGGATTGGTTGATAGAACTTGGGAAAACTAAAGTCAAAACTGGCTTTATTCACCAATGTAAAGCCCTGTCCTGTATCCTTCAGCTGAATCTCTTACTATGAAACACAAGTAGATGGAGCTTCAAAATAGTCATACAAATATTCCAGTGGCATTTCCTGTTTTCTTCTAGTTGCAGGAGTTAACATCTTTATTAGTAGTAAATCTGGAGTTTGTGGACTGGCGGAAGTTCCTCTTAGTAGCCTCGATGCCTTGGCCCATCCCCTGGAGGAAGAGCTCCTCAAGACCCAGCAGAGGTTCAAGGCTATGGACAGGAAGCAGTCGGGTACCATCACTTTTGAGCAGTATATGCAGGTAGCACTAATGACACCAGAGTACTTTTCATCTAACAAATGTATTTCTCATTGATGTTCTCAAGCCAGTGTTCTGCCCCTTGACCCTCTATCTTGGCACCAGAGGTGACCAAGTCCCAGGCAGAAATCTGGCTTCCACCCCCAGGGAAAGGATCTGAAAAAGTGAGAGCTGCTCAGAAAACTGAGGGTTCTGAAAAAAACACATAACCTTTCTTGGCCTTATTCTGAGATCCTACCTGGTACTCCTTTACCTTGGCTGTATATTAGGATTACCCGCAGAGCTTTAATAAGCCCAATGTCCAATACTCTCAGACTAGCCATCGTAACAAAGAACACAGGAAAGGAGCAGTATTTTTTTTTTTTTTGGCCATGAGGTTGGGTGAACGAGATAGTTTTTGACAAGTTGGATGGATGTGTCTGTGAGAAATGCAAACAGAAACATCTAATTTGATATGATAGACACAAAAGAATTGCAGGTCACATAGATGTGTGTTGAACTTATGAATGGTTGAGATCACCTGACGAACATGTGCAAAGTGACAGATAATCCAGCAGCATGATACCTGTTCATTGAACTTGACAGGTAGGATATAACTGGTGACCTTATTGGTCACCAATATTGGTGGAGTACAGAATCTGTATTACAGAATACTGGTGAAATTAATAAGTCTTTAGGAAGTAAAGATTAGAAAACTCAATTCATTTTGAGAAGTATGTAATGGAGTGTGAATGAAATGCCATAACTACAAAGAGCCTGTTCTGCTTACTTTTTATCTCCCAGTTGAATTCATCCTGTTGCTTATCATTGTACATTGCTCTTAGGCACAAAAGATGGAAGTTTTAAGACACTGTTTGTGAAATAGGAGAGTTTTCTCTAGGTACCTGTGTCTCATATATCATTCACTCTTGGAAAAGCTCATCCCTTTGGCTTCTCTTTTCTTCCTTAATGAAAGGATGTTGTGTTTATTGACAGCCCTGAGGTTTCCACACTTACATAGTTGAACTAGAGGAAATAGTACTTGCATATTGAAGCAGTTCCTCCAAGGCTGCTCAAGACAGGTACTTAGCTGCTTGGACTCTGATAGATTTACTTCCAAGAGGAGCAATTTATGAATGTTCCCCTGTCCTGGACTCAGAACTTGTTAAGATGGTTTTGTGTTTAAAAACAAAAAACAGAAAAACAGGGGCCTCCCTGGTGGCGCAAGGGGATAAGATGCAACCTATGAAGCTACCCACAGCCACTGCAGCACGAGTTCAATCGTTGGCCAGGGAGCTACCCACATGGTGCAGCAGACCTCTCCTGTCTCGCCCACTGCTCCCCTCAGCAGTGTATTTCAGTCAATTTGCTTTTTCTGCACCCCGCTCTGTCTCTGGTAAATCCTCTCACCTCCCGCACCTCTGTCCTGAATCTTCAGTTCTTGCATGCATAAATAAATACATCTTTAAAAAAAAAAACAAAAACAAAAACAAATTTTCTCAATTTTCATCATTGGCTTATATTTTAAAAAGTGGGCACTTGTGAAATTACTAACCTTCACAAAAAACTTTGTGCCAATTAATACATGGTATATATTTTGAACAACCTTTTGCCCAAACATGAGATGAGCAAAGGCTGCTGGCAATTTTTACCAAAGTGCTGAGCCCAAACCAGAAAGCTGTGAATTTCTTAGAGAAAGTTGGCTGAGGCATTTATAGAAATTTAGAACACCCTCTGTGTTTTGAGAGTGGTTAATTCCATGTTCTATCTCCTCCCTTTTTCACCCAAATTCCACACCTCAGAGCATACGAGTGAGGAGGACATGGAGAGAATCTCACTTGAACAGCCCACAAGACTTTTACAGACTTCCAACACTTACTCTCACCCACAAGTCATTTGTGGAAAAGTCGAAAATTTCTAGGGAAAATCTTATAAGATTTCTTGAGAACACCACATTAGAACAGTAAAATAGCATATAACTGCATTGCTTATATGGAATCACCGTTGATTCTTGGAAGGAAAGAAGCATAAGGACTAGACCAGAGTTAGGTCTGAAAACCAAGTTAGGTTCTTGGCAAAAGGGAGTGCTGAGGGTAGGTTGCTTCTCTGGAAGATAAGAGTAAGATCTGGAAACCAAATGTTTATGTGTATGAGGTATTTCCCTATATAAAAATTAAACTTGTCAAGACATTTTCTTTGAATCCATGGAATTTAATATCTGATGTTCACTAGCAGAATGGAATGGTAACAAACAAAAGAATGGACTAAATGCCAAATACAAGGCATAAACCAGTCACATTAGACTTCAGGAGAGAGACCAAGAAGGGCCTCCCTGAAGAGATGTGAGCTGAGTGGAGTCTGGAAAGGTGTGTAGGTTTCTATGGGCAGACGAACAGTCACCTCAGTAGTAGGGTGATGCGTGAAAGATGAGAAAAGGAAACAGTTCTAGGCAGAGAATGCTATCTAGCGATTGAAATTTTGAGAGAATTGCTATGGTTGCGTGGTATAAGGTGAAATAAATAAGAAAGACTGGAAACAAAAACAGCTCTGAGGTTACTGAAGTGGTCTATCAGGTTATGATGAGCTTCAACAGCAAAGTGCAGCAGTGGAAATGGAAGGAGGAAGGGGTGGGAGAGACATAGCCAAGTGGAACTTGGTCATCGGTGTCATGTATGGGGTGACAAAGAGAAATGTCATTAAAAGGTAGACCATCAATCTCTTGAGATAGTCATGTAGCAAAGACTTTTCCAGCATCAGCAGCGCATACCAGCACCTCAGTAGGCTCTAAGAGCAAAGAGCCACGTGAACAGGACATGTGAGTTGGGCACTAGTGTCACAGGTACAGACCCCTCCAAAATTTCACCAGATAAGCAGAACCTATGGCGTGGCGTCCTAGTTTCATCACATGCTCCAGCAATTAAACTGCAGCTAGTCTCCTCAATCTGTGGGTCTTAATAATAGTAAATAATACATGCATACTACAGAACTAAATATACATTACCAATTTTTTAATGAAAAATACAAAAGAATGAGATCAAGATGCAAGTAAATGGAGTTCTAGACTTTTCTCCATGGTTTCTGAATACTACTATGAAGACCACTGCTCTAAAGGCTAAACAAATTGGTTTCTATCTGCGGTTTTAGAGGAATGGTTACATCCAGCATCATACTTAAATGATTTTATCTTTTCTTTTTTTAAATAGGCTGGTCTGTGGTTTACAGGAGATGAAAATATAAAAGTTCCGGAAAGTCCTTCAGAACCCTTGCCATTCAATAGGCAGGAACATCTTATAAAGGTAATTACCATGATCACTGAAAACGTTAGTACTATAACACTGGTCAGTTTGTTGTCTTTTCTTCCATTTATGTAATTTGCTTTAGATCCCATCCCTGCCCTCAAGTTCCTTTCCTGTTTCCCTACAGAATATGCTTCAATATTCACTAAGGTCAGAGCATAAAAATGTTCTGGGAGGAGGCAGGGGACAAAATCTTAGAGTCCTACTGTTAGCTCATAGTGGGATCTTGAACAATTTCCACAACCTCTCTGGGTTTCACATTTCTTGCCTGTCAAATAAGTGCAGATGTTACTCAATACATTCGTCTCTCAGTGTCCTTCCAATGCTTAAAGCTTTGGATAGGAATGGTCACCCTACCAACATATGTTTTTTATTCATTTCTCTTTGATCTTGACTAACTTGTGTAACATGCCAAGGATTTGCATGTAGTATTGCCCATCACCCTCCAGTTATTATTGTTACGAATTATATTATCAAAATACTGTTAAATCGCTATTATTGTTATCAGTCTCTGTTCCTGAAGTCACAACAGAAAACAAGCCTGGAAGATCTGAAAACCACTCTGACTTCAGTGAATGTTTAATATATAAAAATATACTGAATGCAGACCAAGTCAATAAGATACGAGAAAAGTTGAACGTTAGGTTTTGAAAGCACAACGCACTACATATCGAATGTTCATTTTTCAGAAAAGTCATTCATTCAAAATCGCAATACAAAATTATGCATGATTCTAGTTATAACTTTGAAATAAACACTTCTCTTTGATTGGATGCATATTTTTAAGCACCATTTCTAGATGCCAGAAGGAGAACAGGGGAGAGGAAGGCATCAGGGAATCACCCCCCGCCCCCAACAAAAAAGAAAGAAAGAAATCCCAAGATACAAGGCTGGCAATTATAAACGAGAAGTTTTTTTTTTCGTTTTGTTTTTTTGATTGTTGGTTTTCTTGACATGAAACTGGAGCTCTGGATCAATTCTTCAGCAAAATTCTGGAAGGCTGTCTTTATATGTTTTTTTTTGTGAACAAATTGCCAGACTTTGTGAACAAAGTTTGTAAACAAACTTTGCATCTTTGGGCATAAGCTGCAGTCTGAATATGTCAAGTAAAAGTCTAGGCAGAGCCTCTTAGCTGCTTGCTTACCCAGCAGCTAAATCAGAGCCAACTGTGCTGACCAGCCCAGGGCACTGTGAGGCAGTGACATAGACAAGGGAAGGGCCTGCGGATGCAATGGAAGGTGGCTCCCTCCTGGTGCTACCAAATTGCTGGAAAGTGGAAAGAAACAAGGTTGAGGCAGAGACAGGCTATGATACCTGAGAAAGAAGTGGTTTTATGGAGCAAAGATGGTAGACAGCTGTGTGTGTGGTGGGGGTGGGGGGGCAGAGGACAGAAAAGAAGAAAGGTTTTCCACTCCTGTCTTCCTCAGGGACTAGATATTCCTAACATTACCTGTTACCTAAGTCTCAATGTTCTTAAACTGGAATTAAAAGCACAGATTCCTCTGCTGACAAGCAATGAGGTGGCGGTGGAGTAGGTAACTGGAAGGCTGAGTCCTTGGCACATGTTAGGTGAACCACACTAACTCTGCATAGATAATGGTTAACACAGTAGACCAGGGTGTGCAAAGTGACAACATAAAACAACAAACAAGTTTACTTCCTTAGACGAGGAAAGACCAATTCAAGGGGGGGATGTGCCCCATGAAAAGGGAATCTTGAAGGTCTATATCCCTGGGCTCTTCTCTCACTATGCTCTGACTCACTACAGGCCCATGAGCAGTCTCTTTATCTCTTGAGGTCTCTGAGTCCTCTTACAGAGAGGACTAGGGCTACAGTCTGGGGTCCCACCCAGTTCCCCTGCTTTGTCATCTGTGCTCATTATGATTCAGTGCCTGCCTCTGAGTCACAAGTGCAGGAGCTCCTAGGCACAGAAGTAGTTAAAGATGATGTATGTGTATGTGTATGTATACACACACATACACACACATACACAGAGGCCAACTGTGCTGACCAGCCCAGGGTACTGTGAGGCAGTGACATAGACAAGGGAAGGGCCTGCGGATGCAACGGAAGGTGGCTCCCTCCTGGTGCTACCCAAATTGCTGGAAAGTGAAAAGAAACAAGGTTGGAGGCAGAGACAGGGCTATGATACCTGAGAAAGAAGTGGTTTTATGGGGCAAAGATGGTAGACAGCTGTGTGTGTGTGTGGGGGGGGGTATATGTGTGTGTATATATATATATATATATATATATATGTATATATACACACACACACACACACAACTTAACAAAATGTAAACAAAGAACCCTAACACAAAATGGGCACCCTAACATTTATATATACACATACATGCATACATACAATGGAATTCTATTCAGCTGGCAAAGAAGATGATGAACTCTTGCTACTTGTGACAACATGGATAGGAACCAGAAGGGATCATACTAAGCAGAGTAAGTTGGAAAGAGGAAAAAAAAATACTGGATGGTTTCGCTCATGTGGAGCATAGAGAAGGTAAACAAAGGAACTGAAAAAACTAAACCAAAACAAACTCTAGAAATAGGACTGCAGAGCTGAGTCTACTTAAAGGGGAGACTGGGAGTAGGAAATGAGGGGGGCAGGTGAGGGGCCCAACAGACGATGGTGGAGGACTATGGGTGCTTTAGTTGTGGGCGTGGTGCGGTAACATACATCTGAAAGTATACGAACCTATGCCCCTAAATCATAAACAGTGTTGTAAGTGACTGTTACGCAATCAAAACATTAAATAAACAAATAGATAAATAATTTTAAAAATATCCACAACTTTAAGTGCAAAAAAAAAAAGAGGCGAGTTTTGTGGGGACGGCATTCCTTGTTCAGACATACATTTCAAATTGCGTGGGAATGAGGGGGCAGAAATGTCACAAACGGGTTTTTATCTTTATGAATAATCTTTTATGCTGCCAACCTGGACAGGCTCTAAAGAATGGGTTTAATGTAGCAAAAAACATTCTCTCTGAGAGTAATCTGAAAGATTGTGGGGGGACCTCAGTAGAAATGCCCCATACCACCGCACCCTCTCATCAAAGGTATTGATAAATCTAACCAGATTGCCCTTTGTTAAGAGGAGTGGGGGTAAGCCAATTTCATGCTTTATGTGCGCTTATGAAAAGAAGCACTTATCTAAAGAGAAATGGGTTCTACCAGATGTTCTCAAAATCTTTCTCAGCTGCTGCTTGAAGCTTTACAGCCACCACATACTTTATCTTCTCATCTGTCTTCTAGTTGAGAAATTGTTGATCCACACATTTGCTGCAGAAACCTTCTTCCAAAGCTTTTCAGCCCTGCACTCCCACACACAAGAACTTCCAGTGTCTGTGTGGGGACAGGAAAAGAGATGAGGCCTCTTCAGCAGGTGTGGTGGGTTGAAAGAGGAGGAGGTCAGAAAGCAATTCTTCAAAGCCTAGTTTGTCACCCGAAGGTGTAATAAATTTGACATTATAGAAATACCTACAAGCATGAATGAGCCACAAACATGGAAATCTTGATGTCTGGCAAAATAGAATAAAATGCACCAAGGAATCAACTGGGACATTCTCTCTCTCTCTCTCTCTCTCTCTCTCTCTCTCTCTCTCTCTCTCTGTCACACATACATGCACAGACACACACATGCACACACATGCTCAGAGTAGTTGAATGAACGAACTTGAGGGTCCCATTGACCTCTCACAATTGTCGCATGAAAGATTCTATGCAATTTCCAATCAAAGTTGTTTCTATTCAAATTTTTATTAGAATTTTCAGATATCAGAACTCCATGCTTCCAACTGCTATCTTTATGTGTGCCTAGTTAAATTTGTACCTTGTTGTAAGGATTATTGGTGATAGAGAATAACATGCTAGAAACAACCTGTGGATCCAGCAACTTGCTTCTCAAAGCACAAGTCAGGGCCAGCAGCTTTGGGTTTACTCAGGAACTTACTAAACATGCACAGCTTCAGACCACTCCAGAACCATCTACTTCATGAGACTCTACATCTTGAACACTCTCCGGGTAACTGATGTGCGTGTTTCAGAAGAGCAGATTTAGGAAACCAGCCACCTCCCAAACAAGGCCAGCCACATAGGTGTTGAGATGTGGCCTGTTCCCCAGGGCTTGGCCTCAGCTTTGCAGGGTCCCAGTAGATATTAGGCCCCCAAGCATGAGCCCCTCATGCTGCCATATGCACAAGGGACTCCATATAAAGCGGACTGTTAATCACTCAGGGGAGAGTCTTGCCAAATGAACTGATGTGCAGTGGTTAGCACACTCGCCCTGGGTGTGAATCCACACTGGAAGAAGGCACAGGCAGGTGGCCCTTGCTCAGGCTTCTTTTTTCTTAACATGCCTCCCCCCACCTTTAATTAGCCTATTTCCCTGCATCTGCTGACACCATTGATGAGCATTAGACTCTCGAGTCCTCCTTTTTCTTGCTTTTTGTTTGTTTACTTAGCTTACTGTTCAGTTCATGCCTTAAGTTAAGTTCTCAGAAAGTGACTTTACTCCAAAGCTCCTGGAGGACTTCTTCATTCCTGCCCATCCCCTGCCCTCCAGAGTGGCAGTCTTGTGTCTTCGGCTGACATTCTTTCTGTATGCCAGTTTTTTTTTAGGCTCTTTGCTGACTATGACAGGGATCCCCCCAGGCTGGACTACACCCGGATGCTGCTGTATTTTGCTTGCCATCCGGACGCCGTGGAAGGGGTCTACAGGGCGCTCAGTGTGGCCATTGGAGCTCACGTCTTCCAACCAGTGAAAACTTCAGTTAGTATCATAGAGAAGGTAATTGCATTCCAGAAATGGGCCAGGTTGGTACCTAGAGGGGGTTGCCAGAGATGCTGAACATCTAACAACAAAGGCTGCTTTCTTTGCCTTCGTATTTTGCTGAGTACCTAACCCAATGCTCTACGTGTAACTAGGTTTTCAATAAAGACAGACTCAACTGGATTAAGAACTGAGAAACCACAATCTAAAAATTGTTTTTGTGGTTAAATCAAAATTGGCTCAAAGTGTCTTGGTAGAATCAAAGTTCATTTGATAATAGACAGTCTTTATTTTGCATGAAGTGGTGATCCTGAGAAATGAAAGAGACCTTGGTATCAACCCAATTTATGTCAGACAATATGGAAAGTCTGTGTAAAAAGGTCAGGCCTGAGACATATCGCACATCTCTTTAGCACTTCACAGTGCTTCAGGCCCAAGCCTGGCCACCCAAAATCCACAGACACCTGCATCCAGGGACAAAGCAGCTTAATATCTCATAAAGCCTTACACCTCCCCTTCAAAAGAGTTGGTATTCCCTAAATTTAGGGGTAGAAAAGGCTCAGAGCAGGGTCCTAGTGAATGTGATTTTATGAACAGATAGTCTTTATCTTCTGATCTTTCAGGGACAGAGCTGTGGCCCTTGGCATGGAATACCTATTTCTGGTCTTCCTTTATGGAGAACCTCTTCCAGTCAAGCTCCTCAGACTCCTAGCCACACTTCTTTTCCTTTCACACTTGTTTGTCAGATTAGAATAGGCTGGATACTCTGGGAGGGAGTTGGGGGGCGGGGGCCGGCAGTAAAGAGAGAGAGAAAGAGTGTGAGCACAGGAAGTTCATATGACAACATCAGCAACCGGGAAGACGTAGATGCTTTTGGAAAAATTTTGACCCTGAGCAGATGGGCAGGGGATGTATTTCCCCTCCCACTGGGACTTCAGTGAGGCCTGACTGACACCTAATAAGCTGACCTGCTATAGACATCACTCCAAATCTTAGCAACAGAAAGTTCAACAAGTCATATTTATTTCCACTCAAAAAAGCTGTCTTTTTAGATAGAAGATGACTGATTTAGATTTTTCCAGGTAAATAAGGAATGAGTTATGGATGTGTCTTCTGAACCTCCAGCCCCCAATGGATTGAGCTAACTCACATGGATCATAGCCTTCCATGAGATCTCAGTTGAATGTCTGTCCTCTGGGAGACCTTCTCTGACCTTGAGTGAGGCCAGACATGCCCTGCTATGTGTTCCTGCAGCACTCTCTGCCTCGTATTTCATTCCAATAGCAGGTAACTACTACTTCAGAGTCTAGCAGGTAACTACTAGATTTGAGGCATCCTTTGGACAGGGTATCTTTTTTTATATACCCTGAACCTTCTTCAGGGCTTGGCAGGGCTTGGCTCAGTGAATATTTAATTGAATGGCTCAAACATTAGCAAAATAAATCATGTATCTGCAAGCCCTGTGATATGTGAGGGATGCAGAAGCCATATGCTGCCCTAATGAGAAGCTGTCCAGTTATAAAAAAGAATGGTAGAATGAAACAAAGAGTGGCAGAGTAATGTCCCAAATGTAGAGGGAACACAGAATAAGACAGGTTAACATAGACCTGTGCATCAGAAGTAAAGAGATGTTCACACATTTTACTAGCCCATCTCCTTATCTTATTCTATTCCCTCTATCTGGAGTACCCTTGACTCAAAGAGCTTGAGGCTTCCCCAGCATCCACCCCTATTTGAACCACCAGATCATTCAAGAAGGTTCTGTTGATACCCCAGAGCCATACTTTCTCAACTGAGCCCCCTTCATATTCAGATCCTCTCTGGCAGTGCTGAGAACTATCCCAGGCCCATACGCGTTATTTAAGAAGCATTTATCCAGCACTTCTGGGTGCTGGGAACCACTCTCGACCTGGGCATACAGCAATGAACTTAACAGTTGTGGAGGAAGACAGACAATACAAATGATAAGTAAAACATAGACCATGTAAATGGAAATAAATGCTATAGGGATTAAAATAAAATACAGGGAATTCACAGGAACTGGGGCAGGAGTGGCAGTGTTACACAGGTGGTCACAAAATGTCACTCTGTAAAGTGACACATAAGCAAAGGCTTGGAGAAGGTGAGAGAGCCTTGTTCATATCTGGGATAGAGCATTTTAAGTGAAGATGGTGGTAAATGCAAAATCCCAGTAGTAGAGGCATGCTGGTGTGTATTTCAGGGAGCAACATGTCACTGTTGCAGTTGGGGGAGAGTGACCTACAGAAGAGCAGCAGGAAGGAGAGTGAGGGAGAGAGAGGTTGTAGAGAGCTTGACTTTGACTCTGCCACGGGTGATATGAGAAGTCCCTGGAGCATGGTCCATCTGATTTAATATATATGGGAATGTCTCCGCTGTTTTGTTGAGAACAGACTGGGGGGCAACGGAGGCAAGTAAGGAAAGCTAGTAATCAAGGCAGGGGTTTGATTACCTATTGAATCCTTCCACTGAGTTATTTCTACATTGAGTTGGGGACAGTGTATTATATAATCTTTGTGTCACCCCAGTAACTGCCATGTAACAAGCAAGCATTGTCTGAGAACACAGATGGAACAGAAAGAAGACTGAGGGCGAAATGGAACCCCATCTCGTGGGTCGAGAGGAGAGCAGACATCCCAGGCAGAGACAGTAGCAGGATCCAGGAGGCTGAGGTGAACTTGAAAGCCTAGAGGGAACAGGAAGCCTGTGCTAGAGCCGTTGCCACAGCAACAGAGAGCTGCCTGGGTGGGTAGCAGCCAGACCAGCGAGCACAGGAAGGCACAGCATCCCTCTGTCCCTGAACAACTCCTTCACCAGAAGCTAAGTGCCCCCACCCAGGAAGCTGCTCCCCAGAGGGCTTCTCTAAAGAGCTCTTTTGAAGCCCAAGGACACTGCACAGGAAATAACCCACAAAGATGAAACCGGGGTGAGGGGCGGGAGGTAGAGCACACGCCTGGCACACCACACACACTATTCCTGATTTGGTGTGAACCCAAGTTGCTTTTGAAATACAGGATCCTCCTACCTCCCTCATTCTTGCTCACCCCTGTCCTCACCATCCTGCCTCCAATTATTCCGCCCCACTTCTGTGCCCTCTCCAAGTGTGTTCTAGTTTCCTGGGCAACCTCATCCCAGGAAGCCATAATGAGCCTGCTCAGAAATAACACCTCCAACAGATCCATCTTCACTCCCAAGACATTTAATCAAATCTCTGGTTTTGCTTTCCACACAAACAATTGGAAGGCGCCCTTATATTTCATGCTTCCTTACTCTATTTTGCTATTCATGCTGTTTTATTCAATGTGGCACAGGCCTGTTTAAATGCACGGCTTCCTGGGTAATTTAAAAGGAACTCAGGAGCAAAGCATTCACGAGTAATGCACTCGTCCTCGTGAGGCTTTAAATAAGTTGACATTTGGGAAAATAGTTCATTCTGGTCTGTGTGGTGAGGGGTTCTGATGTTGGAATTCAGTAAATGAGCTTGAATCTCCCACACTTTCAAAGTCTTGTTAGAGCATCTTAGCAGAGTGTTGGAGGCCCTGGGGTTCGAGACACATAGGTTTCATTCCATTCTGCTCTTGACACTTTGCCCACACCAGTCCCAAGAATTAACCTGTTCTGCCTTCTGAGATGTGGGGCTGGACTGACTGCACCATGGGGAGGCTGGCCAGGCACCATGATGCAGGACACATTTGCCCTGGAGGAGCTGCCTGCACTGGTAGCCGAGCCATGGTCGGGCTGCGTGGAGGGCAGGCTCACTCACCATGAGCTTTGATGTCATTAACAACTGCTCATTCAGAAGCACTGGCTTCTCCAAACTCACATCACTGCTTTCGTGTCACATACTCACACTCAAGAATCATTTTCTTGGGCCTCCCTGGTGGCGCAGCAGTTGAGCGCTGGATTGCAAAGCAGCCCGCAGCCTCTGCAGCGCCGGTTCGATCCCTGGCTGCTCCCCGGCCACCAGAGGAGGGTCCCACATGGCGCGCAGACCTCTTCTGCCGCCCGCTGCTCCCCTCAGCAGTGTACTTCGGGCCTTCTGCCTGTTCTGCTCCCCGCTCTGGCTCTGGTGAATTCTCTCACCCTCCCGCGCTTCTGACTGTACCCAGTGCTTGTATAAATAAATAAATAAATCGTTTAAAAAGAAAAAAAGAAAAGACATCTCCAAAATTAAAAAAAAAAAAGAAGAATCATTGTCTTTTCAGGGATGTCTGTTGGAGAAATCCCCCTCTTCTTGTACACCCTCCGCTACGCCAGGATGCTGGGCCAGCTCCTCTGCACCAGTCTCAATCTCCTCCAAAACCTCCCACTGCCTAAAGGCTATTCTGTGACCATCTTCCAGTAATTAAAATAGCAAAATATTTAAAAGCATTTTCTGACATTAATAATTTAAGGAGTCTGCACTCTAAAACCGCAAATGTTTAAATTATTACATTTTGGCTAAAGTTGAAAAATTCATTTATCCCATGATGATTGTATCGGGGCTTTGAAAGCTAGTCCCCGCCTGATTATGGCAACGGTGCAGGAGAGCATGTTGCTTCATTTCATCTTGGTATTTCCATCACTGAAACTAACTAGACCTTTACTCACACCCAGGTACAGTGTTTTGTTCACACAGCACCTCTGGGGCACCCTGAATAGGAATTCATTTCCCTTTCCCTCACCCAGCATGAGGTTTTATTTACATCACAGCTTTGTTCTCCTCGCTGTATTGAATTTTCTATTGCCCTGGGAAATTGTTGCTGGGCTGTCAGTGTGATGTTCTCCCAGCTTCTAAAGTGGAGACAAAAAGACCAGTTTCACATTTCTGCCATGTAAATTTTTTTTCAATTCTTTAAAATGGAGAAGAGACTGTATAGGCAGAGAGATAAATGAATGGATGGATGAGTGGCTGGATGGACCAATAGATAAATTTAGACTTAATTCAATGTCTTCCCCTGGTCCAGCATTGTCTCTCTCTCTCTCAGCATAGGTTAAGGTCCCAATTTACCATTGAACATGGAAACCCAGCTGAAGTAAGATGACCATGCAGGGCTAGAACAAATGCAGCCTGTTGTCAGTACACTGCCCACGGTCCCTACAGAGCTCTTGGAGCTTATTCTGTGCCATATTCCTTAAATATGTGGGGGTTATGTGACAATTTAAAAAGAACTTACTTGATCTGTATCATCAATGCTTCTACTAAATTTAAAACTTATAAACATTGGTACTCTTCTCATTAAGTCTAGGATAGCATTTCCTTCTTGCTGTAAATAATACTGGATGAACATTCATATAAAAAACATCTCTATGTGCATGAATATTTCTTTAGAATCAATTCCTAGATCTGTAATTACTACATTAAAGGGTAGGAATATTTTTCAGAATGTTGGTACAAGAGATTACTTCATGAACAATTGATTCTTTACCATCCTCAAAACACCAGTGCCTGAGTTCACAGCTCTTGGCCAAGTTTCAAGATGCAACAGAAAGAACCCCAGCCCGACCTTCTATACTCAATTTGTTTTTTATTTTGCCATCTGAATGTTTGGTAGGGCTTAACCTCCATATCCAAATAAATGTTCCCAAAGCTCTCGGCATCTATTAAATTGAGAAATCAACTTGCCTTACTCTAGATTGCAGGAAATTGCCAAAGAAAATCATGTTAAAATCCACAATCATGTATAGAAATCTGGCACTGGTTATATTGGTCCATGCCAGTGTTCATTTATTGAGGACTATGATGCACCTGGCAATGTAGAAAGCTGGAAAGGGAAATACCAGCTGAATTGGTCCAGGATTTTGACAAGTTTTCTAGTGCAATTCGCGTATTATCTCCGAGTTGTTGTAGTAAGCACCCTCATTCCATTGCATAAAAAGTATGTGAGGAAGCAGGTGTTTTCTGAATGTCTCGATGACTGGCAGGGCTAGTCTGACTTCATGTTCCTTCTTTTAATTGTGCAGCCCTCGTTTCCCTATTTGAATACGATTGAGGAGTATCCTGAGCAGGAAGAAGATTCTGTAAGTGAGAAAAGAGAAACAAAAGAGGAAAGCAAAGAAAAAGAAGAAAGTCCTGAAAATGCAAACACTGAAAAGATTTCCATGGAAACGCTACTCAAGGTGTTCCAAGGAAGAAATGAAGCGCAGGACTCTAGCAGGTTCTCCAGGCACTTGATGACAGAGAGCACTTATTTCAAGGTTGGTTGGATTATTTCATGAAGGGGACAACCCCTATGTCAGAAAAGTTGCCCTCAATTGTTAGTGTATGTTTGAGGAACTAGTCTCAAATGTATCATTGTGTACTGAAATTACAGTGAATTCCTTTAGAAAGTCAAACCATTTTTTAACATGTACAGGATTACAGTTAATTAACTCACTTTTTTCTCTTTTAAAGAACTTCATAAAAGTATTTCAGGACTTAGGTGCCAAGGAGCTGGAGCCAATTAAAGTTGCTGCTCTGTTGAAACATCCTTTTATTCAAGACCTGATTTCAAGTTATCCAGACTATAAAATTCCTGTGAGTATTACCCAAAGGGGTCCTAATTCTTTTGAACCTTCAGTTCAGGACATGGTGGGACATCTCTGATGTGGACTAACAGAGAGGGGAAGATACTGAAAGTGGCCAGAGGCAGGTCTGGGGAAGCTAAACTGGTAATAGCATCAGACCAGAATGGCTTGGTGGGCACAGTGCCTGAAGGTTAGCAAAATTGGCACAGTAGAGGTAGCTGCCAGTACTATAGAGAGTAGTGCCAGTGTCTGGATGGTACTGTCAGTACTATGGGGAATGCTATCAATACTTCGATGGTACAATCAGTATATAGACAGTACTATCAGTAAAATGACTATGCAGCTACTTCGTCAGGATTATGAGCTACTTGGATCTGTAACAGAAGACTGGAACTAATGATAGTTAAGCTGGGTGAAAAAGTTAGTTTTCATACTCTACTGAAAAGTGGAAGTATTAGTGTTCTAATCATTCCAGTCATCTAAATAGCCTCACCTATGATTAAAGAGTATGGAGAATTGAATCCCCTTTTGCCCAAGAGAACCGAGGACCGTGATCCCCAGCCAAGAGTTAGCACGATCATCCTCTGCTGTCCTGGCACATTGTCCTAGCACCACAATGACAGCGCTTAGGACAGATATGTGTCAGTGCCACCAGGGAAACAGTGTTGAAGGCTGGGAAAAGGAAACTCTAGAGGCCAGTCCAATCCAGCAGAAGAATGGAATGAAGGAAAGAACCCAGCTCAGAGCTCACACAGACCAGTGAGTTTCAGCCCCGGAGATGGATGTGCATCCAAGGTGCCAGGTCAGGCCTCCAGCAGCAAGGAAGGCAACAGTGACCGCCTTTCAGGTGTGGCAAATTGTTTCAACCCTCAGCCGTATAAGGTTCCCCCTTCGGCTCCTACTGGTTGTTTACTGGACTACAAAGGGTTTGCTGCGTTAAAGAAAAAAGCACTTTCACTTTGAAAAATGCAGGTGATCTGAATGCTGTCTCCTGACTTCTCAGTCATAACCTCCTATACCCAGAAATGAGATGATCCAGCCTTAAATATCTTTATTCATAGGTTTATTTATTCCAAATTGCTGATCCTTGGTCACCTAAATTGTATCACCTATGTTGATATGAATTGAAATTTATTTCTAGCAGTCAGTTAGCATATCCAGCTGTGGTGTGGTGATAGCATTCAAGAACACAGGCCCTGAAATCAGAATGTCACAGGACAGGATTTTGTGTCCACTTCTAACCTTAACTTAATTTTGTGTCCTCGTGACCTTAACTTTCTTTCAATCCTGGCTCTCACCCCACTGGAAGGGGATAACTGCCATTCCTGTTCAAAGGGCTGGGGTGAGGATCAAATGAGATCCTGCACTGAAAGTACCTGTCGTGGTGTCTGACACATGCAGGTGCTGCGGCCCTGATGGCTCTTAGCATTGCTGCTCGACACTGAGCGCTTTCTGTGGAAGAAAGAACAGTGCGTATCAAACTCAGTTGCTACTCTCAAGCAAATTCTACTTCTGTTGGCAAGAGAATGTTGATATGAAGAAACTACAAGAGAATAATAAAAAGGAAAAGCACCCAAGCATAATGCTAGGATTTCAGAGCATAAGATGTTTTTGTGCTAGCAGCTGAGTCTTCAAAGATGCCCAGGGTTTTGGAAAGTGGAGTGAGAGGACAGGAGGTCTACACAGATTTTTCTGTTGGGGTAGAGAGGAGGCAGCAGCGTAGGTGAGCGGAGAGGCCTAGGAGCGGGGCTGCAGAGGAGGACCTGGAACTGACCCTTTGAGGAGCATTCTGTGGGGGATTAAAGTGATTTCCATTGAGTTAGCAAGATCAGGTTATAAGATTTGCAAAGGACCCAGAAGTCAAATGGAAAATCCGGATTCAATTCAAAAAAACAATAGAAAACAAATTGGCTTCTCAGCAGGGGATGCTGGGCTGACTTCTATAGCCCTGAGCCTTTGTTTCTTAACCACATCACATCATTATGTCTTTTAAACGATTCTTCTTTAAACTATTATTTGTCTCTCTTTATTTAGATAGGGCCAAAATATTTGGAAAGATGATTGGGCAGTTGTTCCAAGTTGTGTTCATACATATCACAAATATTGTTTGCTTTGAAAGTCATGTATTACATGTCTCCGTATCTTATCTCTCACACTTTCATTCATGAAAACCAGCCTCTTCCCCACTTACTCAGTGTTACCCTAGAAATCAGTGGGCAGAGCACTCAGTACTAACTGTGGAGGGAGGAGGGAGAGTCAGGATGGGGGAGAGTGGCCAGCTGCGGGTCCCTCCCTCTCACATTCTCCTCCGCAAATGTCATGTATACGGTGTCTCCAGATGCCCAGCACTGCAGACTGCTCTTTCTCCTGTATGTTATTTCACATTTTAGGGAACAGCCCCCTGATTTTAAGCCAGCAAAATAATTCTCAAAATCCCCTGGAATTATGTATAGTAGAGTATATCTTCTATTACCAAGAACAAGTAGGAGTATAAAATGATAGCACAATGATCTCCTCCCTAATGGGACAAAAAAACTCTGTACAGAGAACCATTTGGGAACATTCTTCTGGGCAAAATGACTAAATATGATTAACTTGCAACAAGGACGCCATTCAGCATTTACCAAGAAAAGAATATGGCAACAGATGACTGCCTTCGGCATTCAGTCCCCAGTGGTGTTCGGGCTTCCAGAGAAAGCTGGAGTTCAAGGAGCTCTTTCTGCTTTGGGTGTGTCCCTCATTTCCTCACCTTGCAGGACACCTCTCAGGTCAGCTGGCATCTGAACAGCAAGCTTCTCTGTGAGCACAGCTGTCCCAGGAGTGGCAGCATGGTAGCATGCAGGGCCCCTACCCCTATATTCCAGGAGCCCCTTGATCTGTTGACCATGAAAACCACCTCCGCTCATCCCCCAAATCTTCACTGGTGCATGGGATGGCTCTGCCTGGTGCATGGGTCAGGAGCTGCCTGGCCTCCTAGGAGCCAGTTTCAGACTGAGCATCGCCTGGCCCTCCTGCAGCAGAAGGAAAGGGAGACTGTCTGTCAGTCAGTCCATCCATCTGTTCATTCATTCCTTGCCAGGAGGCTTCTGCCCAGACAGCCACTTCATCTGCTGCTCTCCCATTGCCCTTCACATCTCCTTCCCAGCCCAAGGTGAGGAATCCCAGAGGCCAGTGAGCCCCATAAGCAGGACTCATTCATACGGTCATGAGTCAAAGAGAGCTGAGCTTATGAACTGGCAAACCTAAATTCTAGTATTCTAAAATGAAAGAGGTTGCCTTGCCGATAAAGTTCGCCGTTCTCGTTTTTACTAACCAAAAAATAAAAGGAGGACAAAAGAAAGAAGAGGGAGAGAGAGAGAGGGAGGGAGGGAGAGAGAGAGAGAGAGAGAGAGAGAGAGAGAGAGAGAGAGAGAGAATGAACACAAAAAGAAAAAAGATAAGAAAAAAGAGGAAAAAATAGTCTCTAAAGACTCAGGAGCTATCACACTTGTCCAGTCATCATTTTTTGCTCCAGATATCCATGTACAAGCAAATAGATCACATTTGAAAATGAACTTTAACCACAGTGATGTTATTTAAAGATCTTTCCAGATAAGTAGAGCAAAAGCTAGAGTGTGGTTTTTCAGGTTAAAATGTTGTTTGCTGTCATAAACAGTGGGAAGTGGAGGTTGTTGCCTGAGAGCTCTGTGTTTACAAGGTTCCTGTTTAGAACCTTGTTTAGAAGCAGCAACTTTTTAAAATATATGAGTGTGTATTTTATGAGTGTATGAGTAACTTTTGATGTTTTACTTTTTCTCCTCTTGGGAGGCGGCTTCTTTGTGGGTTAGGAGTGAGTGTTCAGAACCATGTTGATAGGGTTCATACCTTAAACTGTGTGGCCTTGAGCAAGTGACCTCAGAGTGCCTTGGTTTCCCCATCCTAAAACAGGGTTAACTAGCACACATACCTTGTAGGATTCTTGTACAGATTTGATGACTTCATGCTAGTTCAGTGCTTGACTCTGCCGGGCAGACAGAAAGCGGCAATAAATGTTAGAGATTTGTGATGGTGCATGGTGATGCTGGTGATGCTGGAGATGCTGGTGATGGTGATGATGATGCTTGCAGTGCCCATGAATTATTTCTGAGTCATGTGATTTATTTGTGGATGGACTAATCAGTTGGCATTTCCATCTCCTGAGTGTAGTGTCTACTCTTTGGAAAGAAAGAAGTTTCTCCCGTTGCAATGCCACAATGACAAGGAATCCAAACTGTAGTCTCAGGAAACCCTATGTGGTCAATACTTATGTGGAAGATCCAGCTTTTATGTTGGATTTTAGAGTTGTTTGTTTAAAGTCATTTAACCTCTTCTTTCATAGACCTTATGATGGAGGTTATTATGGAGATTATTTTTAACTAATATTCCTAAGTTGTTAAAAAAAAATACATTGGTTTAATGTAACCAGGTCAATAAAATACTATAACTGAGCTGCTTTTGAACAAAGTTGATTAGCTGCTTATGACAAATGTTTACAGATGTAAGTGAACACACAAATTCCTATGCCAACCTAGCAAATGTAGTGTCCTTGTTGAATAAATGTACACTTCTTTTAACAAACCTGTAAATCAAGCATGTATCCTTAAAATGAAGGTTACTATTCAAAAGAAGATAGCAAATCTTTCAGTGTTAAAATCAGGATGTCACAGGAATATTTCTAATAAACAAGTGAGCCAGGACCCAACTACATAAAGTCAAAATACCTATCCTTATAAATGTGACTTGAGAGGACTTTGATCCCACTTTCTCTTCAAGGTATCTGACTTGAAGATATTCATGAAACTTCTCCTTTATCTTTAAAACAAAATATGATGGCTGCTTCCGTGCTTTGCATTTTCAATGCACCCACGCAAACATTTCTAGACTGCCAGACTTTTCCCTTTTAACTAAATGCTAGTGAAAATTATGGCCCCTGATTTCAGCTATAAACTTATCAGGGTCTGGTTTAAACATCTGGAACTTACGATTTTCCCCTTGCAATGGCGTGACAGAAAGTCACCAGGTTAGGCCACTCCTTCATCCCCAAGTTAACACTCAGTTAACACGTATGACCAGAGTATTCACAGATGATACATTATTCAGCAGTGTGGTAGATAGGATAAGAAAGGCCAGTGATGAACAGCTGTTCTTTTTCAGTTGTTCATTCAAGAACACAATCTATGTTCACATTAATCTGTGTTTATAAACCAAAAGTTCCCTCAAGAAGATGATTCACCATGATTCCTGGCAATGGCTGATAGACCCTTGTGCCACCCAGCAGGGTCACAGCTCAGACAGGGAACCAATTCATCTTCCTCAGTAAAATGACCACAGTCAAATTGCAACCTTTGGAACTCAGTTCTGGGAAAAGAAACTTAAATTCTTATAACACTTCCCTAAATTCATAAAATAAGAAAACTAGAAACTGCCTAAATTTTATTTTCTGTTTTTTACTTGTTTGGGCCCCTTCTATGTTATGATAAAATTTTCAGTTTATTTTAAAAAGTATCTGCAATTTAAAATGTAAGCTAGTTAGGTATTTCAGATGGCTAGGGGAAGAAAAAAGCATTCTATCCCTGATGCTAAAATAAAATAGTGGAGTGAGAAAAGTTCTCCCCACCAAATAATCTGCTGTTCTAGAATTCTACAAATTTATTGATGTGGCTAATTTGGCACTGGGCTGTTCCCATAGTAGAAGGTGAATATGGTGTTTTATTCATTAATAGGGAAATAATCTTTTGACTTGCCCACTATGTGCCATGCTCTTTTTAATTATTGCAGTTATTATTTAATCTAATAGAACAACTTCATTATTAGATAAGGAAATAGAGACTCCAAGACCTTTACTATCTTTCCAAGGGTACAGCTAGTAGGACAGGATTCAAGCTAAATAAAGAACATTTTTTTCTCAAGGGAGAAAAGTAAAAATAAAAACAATTTACTAAAGTTTAGAATGGAAAAATTGTATTATTAAATACAGTTAGAGGGCCTCCCCTGGTGGTGCAGTGGCTGAGTGCTGGGCTGCAGGGCTGCCTGCAGCCTCTGCAGTGCCTGTTCAATCCCCGGCTGCAGGCGAGGGTCCCACATGGCGCGACAGACCTCTCCTGCCACGCCCGCTGCTCCCCTCAGCAGTGTATTTTGTCACTCTGCCTGTTTTGTTCCCTGCTCTGGCTCTGGTGAATCCTCTCACCCTCCAGCGCTTCTGACTGTGCCCAGTGATTGTATAAATAAATGAATAAATCTTTAAAAAAAAAAAAGAAGAAACAAACTTTAAAAAAAAATACAGTTAGAAAAGTTCATTAAAAGACAAATCAGAAAAACAAAGAAAACCAATTTACAATTTCATCACTGCCATACACTGAATCATTATTAGTCCTACATCACTTGTTAATATTTGTAATTTTTTAATCCCTTCTCTAGGATATTAAACTAATTCTGCAAAGAAATGAGCATGTACAAGGAAGTGATGGAGAAAGCTCTCCTTCAAGACTCACAGAGGAAAGAAATGAAGAAAGGAAGGTGGATTTTATAATTTGGCAGTGAATCTTCCACACATCGGATGTGAATACAGTGTCTGTCATGGGTTATGCTTGAAAGTATAGAGATGATTCTTGGCAGGTTCCGAGGGCCACTGAAAAGAGGGCCTTTCTGAATGCAGAGAACATTCTGTAATAAATTTTACATTTCAGAGCAAAAATCCAAAGTAAGAAAGAGTGCATTTTGAAGTGACCCTGAAAATAGAAGTCACTAGAACAGTACATTAAAAAAACACACCCATATGACAGGTACAATCCCTATGAGAATCTACATCTGGCAGATTTAGTGAAAAGTCCCCCAAAGTTCCATATCGAGGTAACACAACTGTGACCACTTTCTTTCTAGTTCTCATTCTGTGAGCATAAAACTTGAAAGTTCACCCCACGACTGGGAAGGACGCAGCACTGTGAACTGTAAGCACTGTCCTGCCGTCCCCACGCCCTGTCGTCTGTTCATAATTCTTTCTAAATCTAATTTTCCCTTTATAGATAGATGTGCTTAGTCAATTACGTCTCTTGTTTTATAAATTAGTGACTCAAGTTCAGCGATACTTAAGAAAGTGGTATTTTTTTGCAGTGAGTAATAATGTATTCTCCGTGGTGGGCCTTCCATGATTCTTTTTCAGGTTTCCTCCCTGGCTGCTCCTTCTGAGGATCTCTCACCAGATCCCCCTTTTCTACTCAACCTGTAATTGTTGGACGACCCCATCACACAGCCTCCTTGATCAGTGCCCAGATGATCCATCCATTTCCTTGCTTCTGAGGGCATTATAGCGACTAAAGCTGAAATGTCTATTCCCACCCCCGCCCCTCCCCTGCAAACCCAAACATCTCTCTTACTGTCCACCTGATTTCCACACGGATGACAAATTATCTCAAACTCAACATGGCTGAATTCCTGATTTTCCTTGTCCTCAAATCTGCACCTCCCACAGCCTTCCCATTTCAGGTAACTCTGTCCTTCCTATTTTTCAAGCCAAAGATCTTGATGTTATCCTTCACTTCCCACGTTCCCTCATAGCCTACTTTCAGTCCATCAGAAAACTGGGTAGACAATATCTTCAAGTGTATGTTGAATGTGATCTTCCTTGCTCACCTCCACTAGAAGTATAGTCCAAGCTACCACCATTTCGTGCCTGGATTTTGCAGTAGACCCTAACCCACTCATCCTAGTTCTGCTCTTGGCCCCCGATAGCTGACAGAGAAAGGCTTTAATAATGCAAGTCAGGTCAAAGCTCTATTTCCATCTCATCTTATGCAGTCTAGCCCAAATCCTCACCTTGGTTTTCACCTTTGCCACCTCTCTGATATATTCTACTATTCACCTTGCTCACTCTGCTTAAGCAACAAATACACCTCAAGGCCTTTGCACATGCTCTTCTCTCTACAAGAATGATTTTCTCCCAAATAGCCATATGACTCCTGACTGCCTTCAGGTCTCTGATCAAGTGTCACTTTGACAGTAAAGACTTCCTTTAATACCCAATACAAAATAGAAACAACCCACCATCCCTCACTCCTCACTCCACTTTAATTCTTTCATTGCACTTATCAATGACACATCAAACACTATGTTTACTCTTTTGTTTGACTGTCACCCCACTAGGTTGTGAGATCCCTCAAGTCATGGATTGTGTGTATTTCCCTTATTTCTGTGCCCCAGACCCATTACTAAAACTATAGCTAGCTTTAAGTTGTGTTGATATATTTGTGCAAAATGAGTGGAAATAACACATTTAGACAACAAGGAATTTTTAGAGAGTGGCACATTTCTTAAATTTACTTCTGTGGGCTAAGGTTTCCTCAAGGCTCCATGATCAGAACCCTTGTCTTCCAGATGATAGAGAACGGTACCCAGAAGCATGCCTGAGAGATGAAGAAGAAACTGCATGAAATATTAAAATTTTAACTTAGTTGATTCACATGCAATTCTAGTTACTACCCGGTAATTGTAGTTATTCTATACCGGGGAACAGGGTAATATCTCAAAATAGAGTTCAAATAAATAAAAATGTCTTGAAAAGGACATGGGCATTAAACTAATCCAGATTCCATTAAAGATTGAGCACGACGAGACAACATCACATTAAAGGAAAAACTTAAAAGCAGAAACAACAGCATCCTTCTGCAATAATTTTCTTACGCAGGTTGTTAAATTAGGAAATTGTAGAATCGCCCTCCAGAGGCCCTCTAACTCGTCTGACTAGCAAAGACCTAAGCTGAGAGCTGAGCACATGGGAGGTCCGCCAGCACAAACTCAACCTTCAGTAGGAGAGTTGAGCAGTTACGGTGGCCTGGCGTGACCGAGGGAGATGAATGTTTGCTCACTGCAGGTCCTGGAGCAGCTGACAGGTAGAATTTCACCATCAGAGAGTGCATGAGATTTTCCCAGGGAAAGAAAGACTATCTTAGGAAATCACCTCAGTCAAGTCTTACAATTCTAGTAAATGTCCAGGCGTCTTCAAATCATTCTGATACAGCTTTTGTACTAAATATCATTGCACTAAATGCTCTCCAGCTTTCGTGAAATGAATGTTGCATCTCATCCTAATTGCTCCCTCCCCCTGGATACATTGTTAAAATAACTCTCACTGCAATCCAGGATGCCAAAGCCATCACTGGTAGTGCATGCGGACATGCAAATTTTGAGGAGACTGGTGACCAAAAGAAACTGATGACTTATACTTTATTTACAAATAACTAAAACATCTAAGCCTGTGTTTTATGTGCTTTAGATAAACCACATTCCACTATCAAAATGCTTGGCTATTGTAGCACAATCCATTTAACCTAAAACCTCTAATTGCTCATTTTCGTATGTTTTTAGTCAAATTCCAATTGCTTTTCCCAAATATTCTGATCCAAGTCTTTCTTTTTCTTCAAAATCTTATCAACGCTTCACCCTTCTTTATAATCAAGAAGCAGAAAGTAAAAATGTATATCTCTAAAGAATGTGTGTTAAGCACTTGTTATGTGCTGTGAGCTGTGCTAGGTGCAGGCATAATTTTTTTCATTTACTCTTATAGTAATGCTTGGAGTCAGTGTTAATCGTTCTCCTGTTCACCTAAGTATACAGAAGTTCATGGAAGTTCTTAAGTGACTTATGCAGATCATACAACTGACTCCTGACAGCACTGTGATTTAGATCCAGCATCTGACCAGCACCAAAACCCAGGCTCTTTTTTCTACACACACACCCCCAGCCCTGCCCCACCCCCAGCTTCCCTTGGAGAGGGTCACTGAGAACTGAGACCATCCAAAGCGAATCTTCTCATCTTTCTTTCCTTGACAGGACACACAGGTGCCTGTGCCCTGTGTCCTGGAGTCTCCGCATCATCCACACTTACTTTCTTTTCCTCTCCATCAGTCCCAGAATATTGAACATGTTGAGGTCTAAGCATTTGTTCCTACTGTGCTGTGGTCCTGTTCCCTTCCTAGTCATTATTTCCTATATTTATTTTCAGACACTGCCCCCTGGTTACTTCTTCTCAGTAACAAATATGTTCAGGAATTAGCTATGGGGGGGGGGGGACTCTTCCTCTGCTCTACTCTGCTCACCCCTGGAGGAACTGTTTTCTCTCTCAAAACATGGCCATACCATTTTTCATTAGCATTTAGATGTGAAGAATTTAATGTTTGATGTGGAATGATGACCCTGTCTTGCCTTCCAGGATTATCGTATACTTTTGGAATATCACTGAATTTGAGTCACTAATGTTTTATTGAGTTTGTTTTTGGTCTTTGTTCACTAGAGATATTGGTCTGTAGTTATATTTATTACATTTGGCTTTATTTCAGGTTAATGCTGACCTCATAAATAAGGTAATATTTCCTCTTTTATTTTTTAGAAGTATGTATTCAGAATTAATTTTCCTTCCTAAGTATTTGGTTGGATTTCCAATAAAGTCATCCTAACCTGGAGTTATCATTGTTGAAAGCTTTTTTGTTTATGGATTCAGTTTATTTAATAGGCATAGGATTATTCATATTATTTCTACTAGGGTGAGTTTTAGTGTCTTTCAAGAAATTTTCTATTACATGGAAGTTGTTAAATTTATGGCAAGAAGCTGCTTTTATATTTCTTTATTATCCTTTTAATATTGGTAAGTTCTCTAATAACTATTCCTTTTTCATTCCTGATGCTGGTAATTCATATTTTCTCTTTTCTTGATCAGCTCAGCTTGATATTTATCAATCTTACTCATCTTTTCAAAGGACCAGTTTGTTTTTAATTGTATTATTTTTTATATGTGGTAATGTTGGTTTTCAACACAGTATATGATTTAGGGATATAGTTTCACACCTCTTTAGCTGTATGTCACCACACCACGCCCACACCCAAAGCACCCAGAGTCCTCCACCAGAGTCTACTGGGCCCCTCCCCCATTACTTCCCTCACACACCCTCCCCCGTGGTAGCCTCAATTCAAGGAACCATTTTTTTTAAAGTTCATTGATATTTCTCTAATTTCTCTTGGTTACAACCAATCATGTATGACCCCTAAAATAACTTACATTCTTCTCACTACTACACTAAACAAACCTCATGAAGTTCCCAAATAACATTAAAATAAAAGTAGAGTGGCAATTTTCTCATTATGTCCTGCTGTCAATCACTCCCTTGTTTTAAAAATTCTCTCTCCCTTGGCTTCCATGATGTTAAGCCCTACGAACTTCCCTTCTGTGGTCATCATTCCACATCAAACATTAAATTCTTCACATCTAAATGCTAATGAAAAATGGTTACTCTTTCTCCAATTACTCTTTAGTTTTATTTCTTTTTCCTATGTCTTAGTCTATTCTTTCTAGGCTATTCCAAACACCTGCTTAGTTTTCTATTTCATCTACGTTAAAATGACCTTTTAAACTTTCATTTTTCTACTGCAAACTGGCTTCTACATACTCCTGAAATAATCTTTCAGAAATAATCTTTCTGAAAGCATGTCACATTTTTACTTAAAAAGCTTCCTTCTCACCCCTTGCT